CAGTCAATTCATCAAGAAGATATTCAACAATCCTAAATATGATGGACTAAGTAAGATTAATGAAACAGAACTGACGCCCATACATACATGATCAGTTACTTCTGACAAAGTTGCCTCAGTAAGAAAAGGATAGTCTTTTCAACAAATAGTACCAACACAATTAGATATCCATATGTAAAAAAGGAGCCTCAATCCTTATCTCACACTATAAAGATATCAACTCGTAATTCAGATCACAGACCTAAACATAAAAGCTAAAACCATAAAACTGCTTGAAAAAATACAGAAAATATCTTGACTTTGGGGCAGACAAATATTTCTTAGGATACAAAAAGCAACAGCCAGAGAAGAAAAAATTGACAGTTTAGACATCATCAAAATTAAAAAACAGCTACTCTTCAGAGGACACCATTAAGGAAAAAAAAAGACAAGCCAGAGAGAGAAAACAGTAATAATACATGCCTGACAAAACTTGTATCCAAAACTTACAGTGAATTCTTTACACACATTAAGACAAACAACAAAAGATGTGAGCCGATGCTCACAAACAAAATTATAACGCAAGCAAATGATCACATGAAAAAAACAACGGCACATGTAAAAGAGAAATGCAAAGTAAACACACAAAGAGATACTACACTTATCCTCTAGAACAGGGGTCCCCAACCCCAGGTCGTGGGAACCGGTCGGTGGCCTGGAAGGAACCAGGCCACACAGCAGGAGGTGAGCTGTGGGCCGGTGAGCATTACCACCTGGGCTCCGCCTCCTGTCAGATCAGTGCAGGAATTAAATTCTCAAAGGAGCGCCAACCCTATAACGCAAGGGATCTAGGTTGCACGCTCCTTATGAGACTCTAAGATATGATGATCCGAGGTGGAACAGTTTCATCCCCAAACCATCCCCCAGTCCACAGAAAAATCGTCTCTTCCACGAAACTGGTCCCTGGTGGGGACCAATGCTCTAGAAAGGCTAAACTTTAAAAGACTGTCAATACCAAGAATGCAGAACCTAACCAGCACAAGTGCCAATTAAGTAAGTGGAGCAACTGGAGCTGTCATATACAGCTGATGGGAGTGTAAAATGGTGCTACCACCCTAAAGAATTGTTTGGCAGTTTCTCATAAAGTTTATGTTAATAACATATAAGCAAGGAATTCCACTTGTATGAAACCTTTACCCACATCAAACCTTGTACATGGTTGTTTACAGCAGCTGTGTTCATAACAGCCAAAACCAGAGACCACCTAAATGATCAAACTAATGACCAACAAATTAATGATTTTTTGGTAAATCAAAAAAAAAAAAAAAAAGAAAAAAACCTACTTTGGGATATCCAAAAAAAAAAAAATACTACTCCTCAGCCAGAAAAAAGAATAAGTTACTGACATATGTGAGAACATGGAAGAATCTCAAGAACAGAATAAGAAGGAACAAGTCAAGCACAAAACAATACACATTGTATGATTTCATTTATATGAAATCCTACAGTGACACAAAGCAGATCAGTAGGAATGCTTGGGGCTGGGGGAAGCAGGCAGGGTTAACTGACTGCAAAGAGACACAGCGAAGGCGGAGCATGGTAGTTCACAACTGTAATCCCAGCACTCTGGGAGTCCGAGTCATATGGATCACTTGAGGCCAGGAGTTCGAGACTAGCCTGGTCAACATGGTGAAACCCCATCCCTACTAAAAACACAAAAATTAGCTAGGCGTGGTGCTGTGTGCCTGTAATCCCAGCTGCTCGGGAGGCTGAGGTGGGAGAATCACTTGAACCCGGGAGCCGGAGATTGCAGTGAGCCAAGATTGTGCCACAGCACTGCAGCCTGGGCGACAGAGTGATATGCTGTCTCAAAAGAAAAAAAAAAAGAGAGAGAGAGAGAGACATAGGGAAGTATTTCAGGGTGACAGAACTGTTATCTTGTTGTGGTGGTGGTGGTGGTTGTTGTTGTTGTTGTTGTTGTTGTTACCACTGGACAGTCCTCTGTGGGCCACACGCACTCCCACATGTCTTACTGAGTATGCCAGGAATGCAAGGCCATGACCAATCACTCTTGAACCTGGGCCATTCTGTACCTGGTAACCTTGAAAGACGAGATAACATCTCCCCCTAGACAAAGAGCAGATTTGCTACTGCTTTCTATAAAAGTAGTGGATTCCCCAAGTTTGATGTTCTTCAGCTGCAACACAAAACCACTGAGAGAGCATCCATCTTGGCCATAGCATGTCACCCTCTTGGGACTTGGGGCAAGGGAGAACCTATGCAAATATAGCAATTCTCATGCTGTGTGCTACCGTAAGAAAAATAAATTCCTTCATCTCTCACCCAGGAGTCCCCCAGCTTATGTCAGCAGCGCCCAGTAATACAAGTAGAGAATTCTAAATCCAAAAATCCAAAATCTGAAACTTTTTGAGCACCAATATGACGCTTAAAGGAAATGTCCATTGGAAAATTTTGGATTTTGAATTTGGGATGCTCAATCATTTAGTATAATGCAAATATTCCAAAATCCAAAAAAATCTGAAATCCCAAACACTTGTGGTCCCAAGAATTTCGGATGAGGGATAGTCAACCTTTAATTGTAATAGGCTACCTTTTAGCTATTAGTAGGGTAAAATCAAACCCCACGCCAGACGGTAACATGGGTTAAAATGCATTAGACTGCACACCTAAAATGGGTACACTCTATTGAACGGAAGAGAAGGAGAAGAGGTGTGGAGGAAGAAAATGGACACAAAGGAAAAAGAGGAGAGGAAAAGGAAGAAGAGTCAGGAAGAGGTGGTCAGAATAGAAATGCCTTAGTAGGTGGAGAAATGAGTCCAGACATATGAAGAAAGGAATATGAATTTGTCATGTTCTAACCCACTCTTACTCCCTAAACTGTGCTCTGAGAAGGTCCTTCACCAACTGAAAAATATATAAATAATTAAATATAATTACTGAAAAAAATGCTGTGGTGGTTGTCCCTTGTAATTCTGGGTTAAAGATGGGCAATACTGCCATTAAAAGGGGTTCCCTGATTTCAGTGGAATAGTTGTACTTCCAGAGCGACAAAGCAGACGTTAAATCACGCTTACATCTCTAGGATTAACTCTATGGATCACGACTGTTAACACACTGTTGGATTTGATGAGCTAGTATTTTTTTGCAGTATTTTCATTTCTATCTAAGTAAAACAGACCTATAATTTTCTCTTCTTACACGTCCTTATCTGTTTTAGAATCAAGATTTCACAAGCCTCATAAAATGAACTTGGTGTTTTTTCTCACCATTTTCCAGGACAACTTGCAAAAAGAATTAAGTGTTAAAGTCTGATGGAACTCATCAGAGTATCTGGATCCAGAGCTTCTAAAAAGGGAGATCTTTACCATTTCAGTTTATTAGTTCAAGATATTTCTTCTGATACCAATTTTCACATTTAATAGTTTTCTAAGAATTCTGTCATTTAGGCTTTCAAATTTACCAGCCTAAGTTCACAACGTTCTTTTTTTATCTGATATTTGTAGTTATTTTCCATTTTTCATTTATTGGCATCTTTTTTTCTTGTCGATTTTATCAGAGGTCTGCCTAGCTTACTAAACTTTTCACAAAAATAATCTTTTGGTGTGACAAATCCTTTTGTTCTCAATTTTACTGATTTCTGTTCCTAACTTTATGCTTTTTTTTTTTTTTTTTTTTTTGAACTCTTCAAATGAACTTTACTAAAGCAAGCTTCCTTCATGACTCAGGTGAAGTCATTCTGCCACTCTACAGAAGGTCTGGTTCCACAACACAGCCTTCAACACACAAACTATACAATACAAACACGATTATCATGAATAAGGAGACAAAGCGTATATAAATTTTACCAAACCTACATATCAATGTCTTTCACTAAGGCAGTATCTTGAGGCAAATAAAATTACACGCTGTTCCCACACACAGTGTGTAAGATTCCGACTATCTGCATCAAGGCAAATATTTTCTCTGCACAGCTAACTGGACAAGTACAGCTTGATAAAATTAGTAGCTAGAAATGAACTCTCCAGTTGCTTACCAGATGCCATTCAAAACTTGCAGTTAATAATAGGAGAGAAAAACCTGGCTGTGATGGTCACATCTCATTTTCAACATCCTATCACCACCACCACCACACACACACACACACACCCCCCAAAGTAAAAGCACATTCTTTTCCTAGCTATGGAAGCATACATACATCCTGGTCAGAGGCAGTTTCGGATTACAAAACAGATTTTGGTCTTAAATCTTTCTGCTTGCAATTGAGCGTTAAGACAGATCACTAACATAAAGTTCAACATGCAACCTAATCTTGGGTTTGGACACAAGACATAACCCATCCTGAAAGGCTTATTCTTATGAGTGTAAGCTCTGAAGAGTGATTTTATGCATTATTAGCTTCAAAACAATGTCGGAGCTGCCACCGCGTAGGAAAGTAACTCACACATTACCCTAGCAGGATGCAAAGGTGTAACACAGAAGAGGAGGAACGAGGTGTAGATATAGGTCAACTTTCAAAGTCCTGACTTGTTTAACACGGCCTAGCCAAAAGCACAAGAACACAAGTTGCCAGGTTTCTTTTTTCTCTCTGGCTGCAAAAGACTGAAGGCCTTTCCCTAACGAGACTCAGGCAGCCTTCTTTTCCCCTCACTTTGAGGGTGAAACTTCAAGAGAAGACGGGTGCGAAAAGCGGTTCCCAATGTTGAGAGACTGCCAGTTGTGATAGGGATCGCGTTGGTAGAACTTGGGGCTCCGTGTGTACCAGGCTGCCTCTCTAGACCAGGTAATACAAGAAGCCAGGGCCGCTCAGGCGCTGGCCGCAGACACCAAATGAGGGGGAGGGGACGGTGAGGGGGAGGGAGGCACGGAGGCGAAGGGGGACGGGAGAAGAGGAAAGACCGAGGCCTGAAACAAAGGAAGCGGGGCTTTCTCCAAGAGGGGGTGGATACGGCGTCCGAGTGAGGTGGAGAAAAGCCAAGGCTGCTGGGAAAGGCTGGACTCACAGAACTTGGAGGTGGAGGTGTTGATGTTGATGGTGGAGCTGGCAGTGGGGGCGGGGGCCGCCTTGGCCACGGCGGCGGCCGCGTCGCAGCTCTTCAACATCATGATCACCCCATTAGCCTCAGGCGGTGGCGGCGGCCCCATCAGGAGCCCCTCCTTGGGGCCTTTCCTGTCCACGGAGACCGCGGGCACCGCCAGCAGCTGCCCCCCTGGAGGCTCTCGGGCAGGGGCCGGGATCGAAGAGGGGGGCGGTGGGGGTGGCAGGGGCTGCCGGAAGCCGTCCACCGCAGCCTCCCAGTTGTTGTGGTTCTGGTCGTCCATCATCGCCTCGTAGCTGCCCCCCTCCTCCTCTTCCATGCTTTCCTCCATCCTGCTGGCCCCCGGCACCCGCCCGCTTCACAGGCACCTGCCGCCCGTCTCAACCCCGGGCCAGCGGGCACCGCTGCCTCCCCGAGCTCACATCGCCGGGGGCAGGAATGGGCGCAGCGGAGAGGGGTGCGGTGCGCAGGGTCTCTTGCTCTCCACGGGGCCGACTAGCTTGGAGACGCGGCTGACGGCGGTGGGCGCTCCGGGGCTCTAGTCTGGGAGAGGCAGCCGTAAAGCAGCGGCGCTCCTCACGACATTTTACAGCGGCTTCCAACAGGCAGTTGGAAAGGGCAGCTGGGGGCGCGGCCAGGAGGGCACGTGGTGCGAGGGACTGGCCGCAAGAAAGCGGAGCCAAAAGGGGCGGGAGCTGTGAGTCACTCCCACGCAACAGGGCAGAGGTTCGCCCCGCCTCGGCTGGCAGGGAACTGACAAGGGAGGCGCGACGGGTCCTGACGGGCGTTCGCCGGCCCCGCCCCCGGCCAGGCCTCACGTGACAAAGGTGTTTGTCTTGCGCACGCGCGGTCGCAATCTGGTTACCATGACGACGAGGAGCCGGCCGGCTCCTGAGGGCGCGTGGAGCGGTCTTGGCAGTAGCTGTGGACTGGCCAGACTTACCGGAGGTGTTTTTCTCGCGTCCTCGAAATCTACCGGGCCTTCGCACCTCTGAGTGTCTGAGTGCCCCGGCTTTTGCTTGGGACGGAGATACGGGGCCACAAGAGACCCCGGGGTCTCAGGTTATAAGCGGATGAGACCGCCCTGGGCGGCCTGTGGTCCGACTGCTCCTTGGGTCGGTCCCCAGCTGTCGCGACACAAACACAAAACCCAGACTAAAAACCGAATCACACATAGCAGGATGGCCCAAAAAAGAAATGCGTTGGAGTTACTCATGCTTGTTTTTAAAATTCCTTTACGCTTGTATGCACTGAGACCAACAATCCAACTTTTAAAAATGCCGGCTTCCGCCGGGCGCGGTGGCTCACGCCTGTAATCCCAGTACTTTGGAATGCCGAGGTGGGTGGATCACGAGGTCAGGAGATCGAGACTATCCTGGCTAACACGGTGAAACCCCGTTTCTACTAAAAATACAAAAATTAGCCTGGCATGGTGGCATGTGCCTGTAGTCCCAGCTACCCGGGAGGCTAAGGCAGGAGAATTGCTGGAACTCGGGAGGTAGAGGTTGCAGTGAGCAGAGATCGTGCCACTGCACTCCAGCCTGGGCGACAGAGCGAGACTCCACTCAAAAAAAAAAAAAAAGGGCTGGGCGCAGTGGGTCAGGCCTGTGATTCTACCACTTTAGGAGACCGAGACGGGAGGCCCGCTTGGGCCCAGGAATTCGAGACCAGCCAGACCAACATAACAAGACCCAGTATCAAAAAAAAAAATTAGCAGGGCATGGTGGCGTGTGCCTGTGGTCCCAGCTACTCCAGAGGCTGAGGTAGATCACTTGAGTCCTGGAGGTCGAGGCTGCAGTGAGCCGAGATCGCGCCACTGCACTCCAGCCTGGGTGACAGAGTGAGACTGTCTCCAAAAAAAAAAAAAGGGAAAAGAGAATTAAGTGGTATGCTGAAGGGGAAAACATAAAACCTTAGAATTACATGTGTGGCAAAAGAAAGGGAGAAGGAAGGCAAATTCTGTTTCAGACAACTGATGATTTATCATCAACAGACACTTTCTAGGTAGATGGGTGGGTGCGTGCGATGAGATAAAGGTTCTTTACATTAAAAAAAAAAAAAAAGTCCAATATACAGGGAAGATAGAATCAAAAAAGTGTCTCTAACATACTGTGTCATAAAGCAAGTCTTTACATATCTAAGGATTTATATCATAGCCACCATATAGCCACAAAATATATTAAGCAAAAATGAACAGAAGTATAAGAAGACAGAGAAGTCTACCATCAGAGTAGGTGATTTTTCACTCCCTCTCTAATTGCAGTGAATTGAATATGGTCTCCCACAAGGTATGTCCATATCCTAATCCCTAGAACTTGTCAGTATGACCTTATTTGGAAAAACGGCATTTGCAGATGTAATCAAAGTTCTTGAGAAGATCATCCTGGATTATCCAAGTGGGCCATCAATCCAATGACAGAGTCCTTATAAAAGAGAGGTAGAAGAGGAGAAGACGCAGAGAAGAGGAGGAGGTAATGTAACCACAGAAGCAGAGATTGGTGTGATGGCATTCACAAGTCAGGGAATGCTGGCAGCCACCCAAAAGCTGGAAGAGACAAATTGTCCTCTTGAGCCTCTGGAGGGCGTGTCATCCTGCCAACACCTTGATTTCAGACTTCTAGATTCCAGAACTGAGAATTGATGTCGGTTTTTTTAAGCTTGGTACTATCATAGCAATATAACTTACATCCTCTTGAGGGCCCTGCTCCAAGGGTTTTTACCCAGCACACTGATGAATACTAAACCTTTTATATGTGTGCTGTCAAAATGATCAATATAAGACACTCATTTTTGCTGTAATTAAACTACTGTGACAAGACCTAATGACAGTTGAGCGAAACCAGTCACTGACAGGGGACAATTTTCTATAAGAAATCCTACTGAAAGGAAACCAAATGAACATATTGGTAACTGGTTGATTTTGTGGCATTGTAAGACATTGTTATACTTAAGAGCATATTATACTTTAATAGTTATTAACATAAAATCTTTTATTTGTTCTGGGTTGTGGAGATGGGGTATAACGTTATTGGCAACATTGACCCAAAAACAGTGAACACAGGTTAATAGCCACTATGACCTTCCATAGTCACAGATATTCATCTATTAGTTTAATTTTTGTTTGTTTGTTTCTATTTCCCACTAGGCTGTGAATTTCATTAAAGCAGGATAAATATATGTGTACAATTTCTGTGTCAGTTTGGATACATAAAGAGGAAACTAACTCAAAACTCAATAGCAGTTATCTAGGGATAATGAGATTTTGGATGGTCTTAATCTTCTTTGTATCTTTCAATGTTTTCTTGGTTCTCTACAATAAGTATGTATTATTTTTATAATCAGAAAATAATTCTGAAACTTAAAGATTAACAAATAAACAAAAATGTTAAGGAAGTATAAATTGGGATTCCATAGATTAAAATGTTTGTTTTGGCTTCCAGAAGTGAAAACTCAAATAAAAATTGCTTTAAAATCAAGGTTGTTCATTGGCTAAGAGACTGAGAAGGTCTAGGAATGGCAGAGGTGAGGCAGGGCTCAGCAATTACTGAGCTCTGCTTCTCTGTGGTGTTCTTTGTCCCGGTCTCTCTTGTGCAGGCTTCACCTTTAGACTGCCTACAAAATGCCTGCCACAGCCCCTGGCCTCATGTCCATGTACAAGAAGGTCAAGATGAAAAGGGCCTGTAAATTCTAGTAGCTTTCTATTATGAGCAAATTCCCAGAAGCCCTCAGCAAACTTCCTCACAGTGTGTCATTGGTCCATTCCTAAACTAATCACATGGCACTTAGACCTGGATTCCAGAGCCCTTTACTGGAAAGCATATGGATTCATTCCTGGAAAATAAGGCCCATTCCTGGAACTCAGCATGGGATCAGCTTCTCCCTAAGTACATTGGCTGAGAGGGGAAGGAGTGGATAGAAGAACAAATATTGGAGTCAATCTGGAAGGTTTAAATAAGTGCTGGGTAGGCTACAATGTCCATTATAGGCTGAAGTATGGAATCTCCTAGAACTCCTCTTACCTAACCTTACCCCAGCCTCTCCACTACCTGCCCTTCATAAATGCCTCCCTAATCAATATATCTATGCAAAATTATGTATGTACTGATTAGAATCAACAAAGACATAGCCGGCCAGGCACAGTGGCTCATGTCTGTAATCCCAGCACTTTGGGAGGCCAAGGCAGGTGGATCACCTGAGATCAGGAGTTCAAGACCAGCCTGGCCAACATGGTGAAACCCTGTCTCTACTAAAAATACAAAAATTAGCTGGACGTGGTGGCACATTCCTGTAGTCCCAGCTACTCAGGAGGCTGAGGCAGAAGAATCAGTTGAACCTGGGAGACAGAGGTTGCAGTGAGCTGAGATCATGCCACTGCACTCCAGCCTGGGAGACAGAGTGAGACTGCATCTTAAAAATAAATAAATAAGTAAAAATAAAAAAGAAAGACATAATCCATGTTTCTTTAATTATGAAATGCATATGTGGCCAATTGTCTCAAATAGTTAAAACATGGGGGTGGGGTGCTACAGAGACTTGATGACTCAGGATTAGTCTTTGTATGACTTTAAATACATTGTCACTTTCCCACACAATACTTATTTGTAATTGTTCCATACTTTTTAATGAATCAGTGTATGACTAGCTTAAATCTACTTGAAATCATATTTTATATCAAAAGACGTTTTTCTTTTTGAGACAAGATCTTGCTCTGTTGCCCAGGCTGGAGTGCAGTTGCATCATCATGGCTCACTGCAGTTTTGTCCCCCCAGGCTCATGCGGTACCCCCACCTCAGCCTCTCAAGTAGCTGAGACTATAGGTGTGCACCACCAGGCCCAGTTAATTTTTGTAGAGATGAAGTTTCATCACGTTGCCCAGGCTGGTCTCAAACTCCTGGGCTCACCTTGTCCTCTGAAAGTGCTGGGATTATGGGTGTGGCCCGTGGTGACTGGCTGAAAAGACTTTTGTCCTTTAGTCAACTCTGACAGCACAGCATGTACTATGCGATACATTTGTCCCTAAGAGAAAGTATTATTGCAATTTTTATTTATTTTCATCTACCCTTCCAACCTGGCATTTGTGGCATTGTTAGTGAAGGATGAAATTGCTCCGAAGTGAATAAGAGGAAAGAAGAGGAGAAAAAATATATGTGAAAAATCCAAAAATTATACATGCCTCTTCTAAGCAGTCAAGAACTCATTGAATCAGAAAAGACTGTAGTAGACAACATACAGACATATAGATGATTTCTCTTAATTGCTATTCATTTTAAATTGACTATTAATTACACAAAGGAATTAGCATGGAAAACTGAAAAACTCAACTTTGATGGAGATAAACTATATTAGGATAAAGAAGAATGAATACTTGTGTTTAATCCCTAGGAGATTAGAATTGTACCAATACAGCATGACAAAGAAATAATTTGTGAATGCATAATGCAGTTGGAAGTCTAACTGCAGAGCTATTGGAATGATCTTGATTGGAAGGTAAGAGGATTAGAGCCGTGTAAATAACTCAAGCCTCAACAGTTGCACACTGAAATTAAGGATTACAGTGAGGATGTGTAGCCACTCGGGGGAGTATTCTGTATTCAGTATTTCTTTCCATGTTCAATTTTATTCCTTCCTTTTACGTCTTAACATCTGAATTCTGAATTCCATCCTAGCAGGGAAACAGAGAAAACGATGCAGATTCTCTCATAACCCTGATGAGTTTAGGAGCTGAAGGAAATTACTTGAGGCTGAAGGAGGTCGGGAGAAAACAAGCAGGCAGGGGACGGGGAGTTATGTCGACACCTCATTGCAGGCCTATCCCTTTCACTCAGTCATTCACCAATATTTCTGTGTTCAGGTGCTGTGCAGGGGCTATAAGAGTACATGGATTGCTGGGTGCATGGCTTACGCCTGTAAACTCAACACTTTGAGAGCCCGAGGCAGGAGGATCACTTGAGCCCAGGAGTTCAAGACCAGCTTGGGCAACATGGTGAAACCCTGTCTCTATGAAAAATACAAAAATTACCTGGGCATGGTGGAGTGCTCCTGTAGTCCCAGCTACTCAGGAGGCTGAGGTGGGAGGATCACTTGAGCTCAGAGGCGGAGGCTGCAGTGAGCCAAGATCACACCACTGCACTCCAGCCTGGGTGACAGAGTGAGACCTGTCTCAAAAAAAAAAAGTAAACAGACAAAAAGCACT